TATTAAACTTGCGCCTGCAACGCTACACGGCACACTGGTTCCTAGCGCCACGCCAATAATTACGGGCAATTACTTCTGACCAGACCAAGTGCACGTTGGGGAATAGGACCAAAATGCGGGCTAAGTCCCGCTTCACCCCCGAAATCAAATCCCAGATGGGCACTGAACCCAAATCATTCCCCCCTAGGTGGATCACCAGGACACTCGGTACCCCTAGTAAATGGGAAAGCTGCACCAACTCAGGGAGGAGCCGAACCCACCTCATACCCCTCGCACCGAGTCATCAAACCTCTGCTACGGAAGGCGTGAAACCCAACCGCTCGCCTCCAGGCCGGACCGCCGCACGCTGCCCAGCCCAGTAAACATAAGAGTGCCCGATGATCCAAGTCCTGGGGGGAACCGAAACTGTGGAAAGAAATTACGACAGTAAACCATCCGGATGAACATAGGAAACATAACGTCTTGATTCCCACCTACCAATCCTCTGAACCACCTGCGCAGGCATGCCAAGCCTAGAGGCCTCAGTAGCCGCCCCAATACGGAACGAGTGGCCCTCAAACTCCTTGCCAACCAAACCCAACGAAACACTCTAATAAACTGAAAATGTGACAGGAAACTACCATCCCCATGCACCAGGAGGGGCAGCGCAGTAGAAGGCCGCAAGGCGCAATATTCCCCAAAGGACCACACAGGACAAATGCCAAAACCAGGCACAGCCCCTAACCGGACCCACTTACCCCTCCCCAAGACATCCGTCTTAGAGCGGCGGATCCTGAACGAGATCCCATCCGCGGTGCACGTAACGTCCCCAAATAGCACACCCCCTACCTGTTGCCGATTGGGGCACACCAGCTCCCCAATCCGCATGGCACCAAAGAACGCCAGGAAAAAGGCCAGGTGAAAAAGCCGAACCTCATAATCCGAATGGCAAATCCCGTACAGCGCCTCACGCAACGAAGTTAAGAGCGTGCCCGAGACAGGACGCCTCGAATCTCGTGCAGACACCCTACCTTGCCTCAAACCCTTCAGCACCTGGCGTATAAGAAACACCTTGGTAGCGTCTTCCCAACCCTGCAACTTAAACAGGAAGCTAAGCCCTGCCAGGTGCGCCGAAATGGCCGAGGGAGACAGCCCAACGGCCTCCCATTCCCCCAAGAGAAGCACCAGACCCTGCAGATGAGTGGCTGAGTCCCGGAAGCCCCCTTTGGACCTCTCCCACCCGTCCCATTCCCTCCAAACCTTGTTATAGTGGTCCCATGTGGCAGCAACAACCGACCTAAGGACCAATTCCATTAATCTGTCAGACCCAATGACCACATCCCTGTCGGACACGGGACACCCTCCAATTCAACTTGCGGGGCCACTGCCCGAAACATGTCCCACTGTGAACGAGAGAGAGCATTGGCCATCACATTACGAACACCCGGTATGTGTACAGCCCTACAATACACATTCAGCTCCAGACAGCGCAGAACTAGGCGCCACAGCAAGCAAACCACGGGGTGGGGGAAGCCGACAGTTGGTTAATGGCCTGCACCACCCCCAAGTTATCGCAATGGAAAACCACCCGTCTGTCCCCCAGCAAGGAACCCCATACCTCCAACGCTACCAGAATAGGGAAGAGCTCCAGAAACGCCAAGTTTCGTGTGAGCCCTGCCGTATGCCAGGACTCCGGCCACAAGTCAGCGCACCATTTGGAGCCCAGGATGGCCCCAAAACCGGCTGAGCCAGCCGCATCAGTAAACAGATGTAGGTCCGCGTTAGAAACCTCCGGGGCCTGCCAGTACGACCTCCCATTATATGAGGCCAAAAAGTAATCCCAGGATAAAGTGCTGCTGACGAACGACCCCAGATGTCACCGCCGCCAAGCGCCTGTTAAAGATACGCCCCATGGGCAAAATCTGGCAAGCGAAATTGAAACCCGTGAAACTGCTAGGCGCAGGTCCAGGACCTTGTCCCGGGGTAACCGACATTCCCCGGCTACTGAATCGATTTCAATGCCCAGAAAACTAAGGCACGTGACCGGACCCACTGTCTTGTCACGAGCCAACGGAACACCAAAACGCTGAAACACCTCCCCGAGAACCCGCATCTAGGTAATGCAGAAGGGAAGTGACCCCCGCTTCCCTCCGCACCACCCATTCTAGAAAAGTGCTAAAGCACTCAAAATAGAAATATGACAGAGAGCAACCCATAGGTAGGCATATATCCACAAAGAGCTGGCCCTCAAAAGCACAGCCCAGTAAATGATGGCACTCCGGATGCACTGGAAGAAGCCGAAAAGCTGATTCCACGTCCTCCTTCGCTAGCAGCGCCCCGGGGCCAGCAGCCCTCACCATGCGAACTGCTGCATCGAAAGAGGTGTAGGAAACCCTCCAAAGCTCCGCCGAGATATCATTCACCGAACCCCCCCGGGGGTAAGACAAATGGTGAATTAGTCGATACTTACTGGGTTCCTTCTTAGGCACTACGCCCAAAGGAGAAACCCGCAAGTTAGGCATGGGTGGGGAGGAAAACGGGCCGGCCCAAGGAGACCTCCTTCCCCAGTTTCTCCCGAACCACATGAGGAAATTCCCACACAGACCTGAGGTTCCGAACGGAGTGCTGTGGAGGGCGCTCCGAAAAAGGGATCCAAAAACCCTGCTT